TTTTGTTTATTAAGTTATTAAATCATCAATTTATAATTTCATAATTATAATATACATGTATTGGATAGTTTTTATTAGTTTAATAATAGAAATTTTAAAATTTTTATAATTTTAATTTGTTTTAATAATTACATAAATGTAAATTTACTTTTTGTAACCCCACGGAGCGTACCCTCCAAGTAGTGGCCAACTTATAAACTCCGGTGATTTCATGTATGCCTTAATCGCCGGTAAACTCTCAAAACGGGTCAACAATTGAACCAAATTCTGGTACTTATTGACGGTCTCAGGACTGAAGAGTCGGAACCAATCGAGCACTTCATACGCCAAGAAGTCTACATAATTAATGTGATTACCGGTAAACCACTGACGGGTACCCAAAAACCGGGACAACTCATCCAACAGTTTGGGCAGTGTTTCGGCCAAATATTTGACTTTTGCTGTTTCAAAATCTGTGGCAAACACTAAGCCTAAAATAAACTGATACCTAATGTCCACCAACTGTTGCTCCGCCATATCCTGGCGCACGAGTCCGGTCTCGTCGGTGGCCACCAGTCCGTGCTTTCGGGCCACATATCGCATAATAGCATTACTTTGGGTCACTTTGATTGGACCGTCCATATAATACGGAAGGTTGGGAAAGTCTAGTCCCAGGGTGAATTTTACTTTCATCCAATCAGCCCTAAATACTGGCACGGTATTAGCGTCCACATTACCGTAATGTTTATCATTAAACTTCACGTCTTTATATTTTAGCATTAGTCGTATGGGTTGAGCCAAACCCCGCATCTTATAGTAAGCTAATGTTGGGACAGTTGTGTCGGACATATTGTATGTAATATTTGACAACTTTTTTATTAATTTTTTTTGAATAAAATAAAGTTATTGTTAACTAAACACTGATATAAATACTTTTCACGTGTAATTAATAACAAATAAGTTTGATGCAATAATGTACTCTACTTGTACTCAATGCACAAGTATTAAATATTTAATTTAACGTACTATTTACGTTTGGTAAATTTTTGACATTCACATACAAATATTATCATACCTGTTGCTAAATGTAAAATGCTTTATGTGTAGTCAGTGACTGAAGTCTACTAGTCACTGAAATGTATAATTGTCTTATTTAACCTTGAAACATTGCCTTATGTAACTTATAATAAATACCTCTAGTACAATATTAGGCCTCTTAAAAGTATAGATTAAACTAATATAAAATGCAACTGTAGCCATATTTGTGTGCATCTATATAGATTAATGATAAGAATTATTTATTGTGATGAAATTATATTTATTAAATTAGGTTAAATAAATAATTTTTTAATTTAATTTTATTAATGAAAATTGTACAATAATATTCAAATAATAATAAAATTAATCAAAACAATTTTTTTAATTCCATTTAATCGTAAAATAATTGGCATTTTTATTTAATTAACAATTTTATAATTGTAATTAAATTAAAAATTTACTTTTTGCAACCCCAGGGAAACCTCGGTGAGAGCAGTGGCCAACTTATAAACTCCGGTGATTTCATGTATGCCTTAATCGCCGGTAAACTCTCAAAACGGGTCAACAATTGAACCAAATTCTCGTACTTATTGACGGTTTCGGGACTCAAAATCCGGAACCAATCGAGCATTTCGTAAACACCAAAGTCTACATAATTAATGTGATTACCGGTAAACCACTGACGGGTACCCAAAAACTGGGACAAAGCGTCCAACTGTTGGGGCAGTGTTTCGGCGATGTATTTAACTTTTACTGTTTCAAAGTTTGGGTTATGTAATGCCATAAAAAATTCCATATGAATGTCTGTCATCTGTTCCTCAACCATATCCTGGCGCTCGAGACCTGTCTCATCGGTGGCCACCAGTCCGTGCTTTCGGGCCAAGTGTCGCATAATGGCTTTAGTGTGGGTCAGTTTCTTAGAACCATCGATGTAATATGGCAGGTTGGGAAAGTCAAAGCCCAGGGTGAATTTTTCCTTAAACCACTCCACTTTAAACTCTTGCTCGTATGATTTCTCGTTGTATTTCACGCCCTTATAGGCCAGCATCAGTCGTATGGGTTGAGCCCTACCGCGGATTTTGAAATAGCCTAATGTGGGAACCGATGTGTTGGACATGTTGTATGAGTTTTGGTATTAAATATTTAAAAATTAAGTAACTTTTGGTGTGAACACAGTTATAGTGAGCGGAACAATGAAATACTTTTAACTTATAGTTAAGTTATGGTTTTGTATCACAAATATCACTCCTATTTATACCAACTATGATCACACTAAACAAATATTACACTTATAATACTTATACTTTACTAATTCTTGCTGTTGGTAACTGTAAGTTTGAAATAAAATAAAATGCCTCTGATGATAACAAATAATGTTATTGCACTAAACCGACCTTTTCAAGCATTTACATTAAATTTATTATCTAACCGTTAGATTCTAACAGCATATTTACACTGATGCAATAAATTAGCTTAATTCACTTAATTTATAGTTGATTTCTATTGTAAAGTTATACAACTTGATTAATTGGTTATTATTAATAATAATTTATTAATATTAAAGCAATTGCTTGAATTAGTATCAAGAACATTTATATAGAGTAATGCATAAATTTGAATATCACTTATCTACTTTTATACTTGATCTCTATCAAAAATCATAATTGATTAAATGATCGTAAATATTACAGGATTTAAATTATTACTATTTTAAGTTGTATTTATGTTAATAAAATTAATAATGTATCATATTAATAGTTTAATAACAACTTTTATAATTTATGTTTTTACATAATTTATTTTCAAAAAATTTAAATTTTTAATCTCATCTATCATATTTTAATAATCATAATAATTATTTTTATAACTTTACTTATTAAGTTATTAATGACAAGTAATATTTTATAAAAATACGTTTTAATTATTTTGTAACTAGTAATTTGGACTTAGTAACTTGGAAGATAACTAATATTATTATATAAAGTTGCAATCATACATATTGCTCAATTAACCGTAATTGAATTAAATATTCATTTTAATTTAAATGCAATAATATTTATTGAATTATTTACTGTTTAAAAAATACAAAATAGTTTTTTTAATTTTTATATAATGTTGAAAATTTTGGTTTTCTTTCATTAACATATATAAATTTACTTTTTCCAGCCCCAGGGAAACATCGGTGAGAGCAGTGGCCAACTTATAAACTCCGGTGATTTCATGTATGCCTTAATCGCCGGTAAACTCTCAAAACGGGTCAACAATTGAACCAAATTCTGGTACTTATTGACGGTCTCAGGGCTTAAGATTCGGAACCAATCGAGCATTTCGTACGCCAAGAAGTCTACATAAGTAATGCTATTACCGGTAAACCACTGACGGGTACCCAAAAACTGGGACAACCCGTCCAACTGTTTGGGTAGTGTTTCGGCCAAGTATTTGACTTTTAAGGTTTCAAAGTTTGGGTTAAATAAGCCCATAAAAAATTCCATATTAATGTCTCCCATCTGTTCCTCTACCATATCCTGGCGCTCGAGTCCGGTCTCGTCGGTGGCCACGAGTCCGTGCTTTCGGGCCAAGTGTCGCATAATAGCCTTAGTGTGGGTCAGTTTCTTACCACCATCGATGTAATATGGTACGTTGGGAAAGTCCAGACCCAGGGTGAATTTTTCCTTAAACCAATCCACTTTAAACGCTTCCATGTCTTCAGCGCCCGGTCTGTCGTAGTATTTCTCGGTGTATTTCACGCCCTTATAGGCCAGCATCAGTCGTATGGGTTGAGCTCTGCCGCGGATCTTGAAATATCCTAATGTGGGAACCGATGTGTTGGACATGTTGTATATGTTTTATATAAAAATTAAGTAACTTTTGGTTGTGAACACAGTTATAGTGAGCGAAACAATGAAATAAATACTTTTCACTTATAGTCAAGTTATGGTTTCAAATCACAAAAGATAGTGCTATTTATACAAAATATAATCATACTAAACAACTATTATATTAATACTTGGTGCTGGTAACTGTAAGTTTGAAATAAAATAAAATGCCCTTGAAAATCTAATAATGTTCCCGCACTAAACCGACCTTAGGTCTCTTCAATGTACCTACATTTATTATATTATTTAACAGTTAGATTCTAACAGTTAGATTTACAACAATGCAATAAATTAGCTTTTAACATAGTGATACATTTTAAATCCAATCTATATTAATTCGTATAACTATTTAAATTATTAATAACAGGTAATATACAATATGCATATTAATTATTTTGATTGTTTATTAATTTGTAACACAACTAATGTTATTATATAAAGTTGCATTCATACATATTATTAAATAAACCTTAATTGAATTAAATATTCATTTTAATTAAAGTGCAATTATATTTATTTAATTGTTTACTATTTTAAAATACAATATTTTATGCAATTCTTATATAATGGTAAAAATGATAGTTTTCTTTTATTGTCATATATAAATTTACTTTTTCCAGCCCCAGGCACACATCGGTGAGAGCAGTGGCCAACTGATAAACTCCGGTGATTTCATGTATGCCTTAATCGCCGGTAAACTCTCAAAACGGGTCAACAATTGAACCAAATTCTGGTACTTATTAACAGTTTCGGGACTCAAAATTCTGAACCAATCGAGCGTTTCATAGACACCAAAGTCTACATAAGTAATGCTATTACCGGTAAACCACTGACGGGTACCCAAAAACTGGGACAACGCTTCCAACTGTTTGGGTAGTGTTTCGGCGATATATTTGACTTTTGCAGTTTCAAAGGTCGGGGTAAACAATACACCCATAAAGAATTCAGTCAAAATATCCGACATTTGTTCCTCCACCATATCCTGGCGCTCGAGTCCGGTCTCGTCGGTGGCCACCAGTCCGTGCTTTCGGGCCAAGTGTCGCATAATGGCTTTAGTGTGGGTCAGTTTCTTACCACCATCGATGTAATATGGTAGGTTGGGAAAGTCAAAGCCCAGGGTGAATTTCTCCTTAAACCAATCAACTTTAAACGCTTCCATGTCTTCAGCGCCCGGTCTGTCGTAGTCTTTCTCGTTGTATTTCACGCCCGCATACGCCAGCATCAGTCGTATGGGTTGAGCTCTGCCGCGGATATTGAAATAGCCTAATGTGGGAACCGATGTGTTGGACATGTTGTATGAGTTTTGGTATAAAATATATCAAATAATATATCAAATTAAGTAACTTTTGTTGTAAACACAGTTATAGTGAGCGAAACAATGAAATAAATACTTTTAACTTATATTCAAGTTATGGTTTTGTATCACAAATGCCACTCCTATTTATACCAACTATGAACACATTAGACAAATATTATACTAATACTGTTGATAACTGTAAGTTTGAAATATAATATAATGTCCTTGAAGTTAGCAAATAATTTTCCTGCACTAAACCGACCTTAGGCCTCTTCAATACACTAACGTTAACAGTTTATTTAACGTATAAACAGTTAAACATATTATCTAACATATACAATGTTTTGTACATGTACAGTAGATATCTAACGTTAGTTTTACACTGATGCAATAAAGCATTAACTTAATGCACTAAATTTCAGGTTGATCTCTATTAATTGAACTTGATTAATTTATTATCATTATTTGAGTAATTTAGTTTAATTTTTCTATTTTAAGTTTAATTGACATTTATAATTTTATAATATATGATTTTATATAGTGTATTTTTAAAATTATGTTATATTTTAAATTTCATTTACCCCAATTTGTGCACTTGTTTATTAATTTATAAATTTTTTTACAGTAAAGTTATTAAAAGTTATTGATGTGTTATTTAATAAATAATCTAGCTAAAATGACCCTAAATTATATTGTTTAATAAATACACTGTACAAATATATAATATATTATTGTATTGCTTCAAGTAAAATAAGTTGTGCCAATTAATAAATAAAGTTATATAATTAATTATAGTAGTGTTCAATAAATTGATTTATTATTAGAATTTATTATAAATTAAATATAATACATAACTCATATATAAATTTCAACAATAATATTAATTTGCTTATCATTACAGAAATCAAAGCATAAATATAAATTTATTTTGTGAAACCCCACGTATTGTTTGGTGAAACTATTGGCCAACTTATAAACTCCGGTGATTTCATGTATGCCTTAATCGCCGGTAAACTCTCAAAACGGATTAAGAATTGAACCAAATTCTGGTACTTATTGACAGTACTGGGGCTGTAGAGGCGGAACCAATCCAAGTATTCATACGCCATAAAGTCGACAAAATTAATATCATTACCGGTAAACCACTGACGGGTACCCAAAAACCGGGACAACGCGTCCAACAGTTGGGGCAATGTTTCGGCCAAATATTTAACTTTATCAGTTTCATAGTTATTGTTAAAAAACAATAAATCAAAAAACTGGTTCCTAATGTCAGTTAACTGTTGCTCCAACACATCTTGTCGGTCGAGTCCGGTCTCGTCGGTGGCCACCAGTCCGTGCTTTCGGGCCAAGTGTCGCGTAATGGCGTTACTCTGGGTTAATTTGACATCTCCATCAATGTAATATGGTAGGTTGGGAAAGTCGAGGCCAAGGGTGAATTTCACTTTTCCAAACCAAGTTGATTTAAAATCGTTGTACTCGACGGCTCCGGGTTTGTCCTCGTATTTGTCGGTAAACTTCACGCCCTTATAGGCCAACAATAGGCGTATGGGTTGAGCGATCGCTCGGATCTTATAGTAGCCTAATGTGGGAACTGATGACATGTTATAAATGTTTGTATATAATCTGTATAATTAAATAAACTTATCCACAGTTATAATTAGCAATTATAAAATAGACACTTTATTAGTCTCGTCTCGTCAGCTATTTATACAAAATAATTTTTGCGACTAAATAACGTTATGCTATATGTTTGTTATGTGTTATCTTATTTAGCTATGATAAAATTTATTATAAGCGAGATTACAAAAGCCCTGAATTTACACTCAAAATATTGTATAATCATACTATACATGTATACTATTTATACTTGTAATTTATATTAATACATAAATGTTTTATGTGGTAATATTTTCCAATTTGTCTCAATTATTGTTGCATTGATGTCAACTATACTGAACAAATCATTAATTTACTATAACTATATTGACTATTGTAGTATTAAATAATGATCTACTTTCAATAATGCTAAACCCTGGTCAATCATGTTTTAGCAAATATTAAAATAAATATAAAAACTATTTTAGTTAGAAGTCAAAATATTAATCACTCTATCTAAATCACTCATTCTATCTAATCACTTTATGTTTTATTTAATAGTATTTACATTATTTGTTAGGTAGTATTATTTGACTTTATTAGCTAGAATTTAATACAAGCTAGAATTTATTGTCATTAATTTATTAAAATTATTGCAGGCATATAAACTTTTATTATATTATGAAAATAAACATTTTTTATTAAAAACATGATAAATATTGTTTGAGATTATATCGCAATTTATAAAAAATTTAATAAATTTAAGATTTTATTAAGTGTTTTAATTTAACAAATATTTAATACAAATTAATAAATCATTTTATAATTATTAATTTATACAACTATTTATTAATATTTAAAAATATATTTAAATGATCAAGGCTTATTGAAACCCCACGAATCGATGGGTGAGAAAAGTGGCCAACTTATAAATTCCGGTGATTTCATGTATGCCTTAATCGCCGGCAAACTCTCAAAACGGGTTAAGAATTGAACCAAATTCTGGTACTTATTGACAGTTTCGGGGCTGAAAAGTCTGAACCAATCCAAGAGCTCATACGCCAAGAAGTCTACATAATTAATGTGATTACCGGTAAACCACTGACGAATACCCAAAAACCGGGACAAAGCGTCCAACTGTTGGGGCAGTGTTTCGGCCAAATATTTAACTTTTTCGGTCTTGTAGTCTTTATTATACAATAAGCCAACGCCAAACCCGTATCTAATGTCCACCAACTGTTGCTCCAACACATCCTGTCGGTCGAGTCCGGTCTCGTCGGTGGCCACGAGTCCGTGCTTTCGGGCCAAGTGTCGCATAATGGCATGGCTTTGGGTTAGTTTAACTGTCTCGTCGATGTAATATGGTACGTTGGGAAAGTCAAGGCCCAGGGTGAATTTGTCTTTATTATACCAATCCCACTTAAATGTCTGCTGTGTTACGGCTCCGGGATTGTCGTGGTATTTGTCCGTAAACTTCACGCCCTTATACTTCAGCAGCAGTCGTATGGGTTGAGCCAACGCTCGGATTTTATAGTAGCCTAATGTGGGGACAGTTTTGTCGGACATGTTGTTTATGTTTTTATATAATTTGTATAATTATTAAAACAAATTTTAAACACAGTTATTGTTAACAAAACAATGAAATGAAAACACACTTTACTTATTACAATGTTGTGTTTTTACTGTATAAAGCTATTTGCTATAATGTCAGTAATGCCTGTTGGTAACTTAAAACAGACTTTATATGTGTGATGTACATTTACATTATCTAACCTTGATTTATATTTATTAAATGCAGGTTTGTAAGCATTTTGTTTTTATTATCATAGTGATTTGACCTTGGTTAGATAACTGTATTTATTGCTGTATAATACATCAGAAGTAAATATATTTCATTAGACTTTATAAAAGATATTTAGAACTTGTTCATAGATATTATTTTAAAGTGCATTATTTTATTTGATTATAATTTATAAAAGTGAGATATATAAACATTCAGTAATATTTATTAAAATTATTATTGTTAAAATAAAATACACAACATTAAGAAGTATTAATCAATATTGTAATTATAGAAACCCATAGTCAGCCTTATATTGCACTCAACTAGCACTGTATTATTCTTGGAATTATTTTATTTAAACATACAATAATATTTTCAAACTTAAATTCATGTAATATATCACGCAATACACGCCTAGCTATGGGTCTCTATGATTACAATATTGATTCATATAGAATATAAAATAAGAAAATCATTGAATCTTGTTATTGTAGAAATCATTTAGAATTTTGTCTATTTAAAACTTTTTTTGATTTGAATATGTTAATATAAGTCATGTACAGTATTTATCACCAAACAATAATTAATAAATCATTTAAAAATAATAAATAGTAATTTTTAAAATATAAATATAATTAATTTAATAAATTTTGATAATGTTTAAAAATAAAGTAAACACGTTAATTATTAACAAAAATTATATACCTACCAAAATAGTAGATAAAAATATATTTGTTGATTTTTACATCAAAGTCATTAAACGTGAAAGTTTAACCTACACTCAAAATACTTTAATTAAATTTTTCAGTTTTATATTAATGGTAACTCACCTAGTGCTAATTATTTACAATACTGTGGCAATTTTAACCGAGGTTACTTATGAAATAAAAGTATTATTTCTGGATAATTCGTTGATTGTTGGTGGAATACCTATTTATATTAATATTAGTACAGTGTTATGCTTGACATTAGGTCTGGTGCTCAACATTAGACTCAGGTTATACCCGAGAACTCAGGGTATGGATGACTGGACTCAGGTGTTTGGTTTAATGAGAACTCGGTTTCGACCCATCCGTCGATCGGTTGATAAACATATTATTAATAAATTAATTGTATTTACAAACCGTTTATACAAATTTACGAATGTATGTGAATTATTAACAGGTATGTAAAATACATTTTTGCATCTAGATCATAATTTTCAGTAAAACAATTTTTAACAATGTAATTTAGGTTTATTCTGGATAGTGTTAATAACCAATAACAGTGTGCGGTTTATCTCAGTCAATCAACCTAGCAAGATCACTTATGCAACTTTGTTAATACAAGCTCAAGAGATTATGATGTATATAATTATCATCAGTGATTGCCAAGTTTACGGGGCAATACTATTAGTGATAGCATATTATCAATTATTAAGAATTAACTATATCAATAATAATGTTAATTTCATAACATCAGGTAATATAAAAATGGACCGTGGTGCTAAAAATATAATCAACACGTACATGATAGAACATAACAATCTATGTCAAACACAGTATAGCATAAACAAGTATTGGCGCGATATATATCTGACACTAATATTTACAACATTTCCATTCAGTTTAATACTATTACATCACATATTCTATGAACGCATTGTATTCCTATTGATATTCATGTATACAATGGCTGTAATCGGTGTTTACAACGTGTTAATTGGCGTTCAATACATGTTTGCATTGTTTTCACTCAAAATGCACAAAATGTGTAAACTATTGTCACGACTTCAATGTGACTTCAATGGCGTTTCAGTGGCCGTACATATGGTTTGGGATTTAAATTAAAACTTTTAGCCTATTTTGAGAGACTTAGTAGTAATAGGAAATTGGGTGTTGGTATCGGCACCTTGGTTATTGTGACAGTGCCCTTGTTTGGCAAGGTAAGTTCTAATTGGTGTATTTTTAAAAGTGCTACCTAGTTAATATTAGTTTATTTTTGATTATACAATATAGATGATTTTGCTATATGCCAGATATTTCCTGTTGGTTCATAAATTTGCTTTAAAACTTCATTAAATGTTATGTTTTTAGCATGATTGTTACATATTTCCAATTGGTAAGTATTTCCAAGGGTAAACAGGCTATTGAACTATTTTTTGAATAGGTAAATTAATTATTATTTTTGAATTTGCACTTAATTATTCATTTATCTTAATAGTTTTATTAGTTTAATAAAATATTTGTATTGATTATTTAAGACTAGATAATTTTTAAATTGTCCAACCACCAATTGATTAACTACAAACAATTTTCAAAAATAAACTACATTATCTTGGAATAACAAAATTAAAAAAACATAATATTTTAATTATAAATTACTCGTGTCCTACTGTTTCCATAAATCACATTAATGAATGAGTTTATTACAAAAATTTTACATTGTTTAAAATTTACAGTTTAAATCTTTATAATAAATATATTATGTAAAGTATG